GCAGGTCTAGCATTCGGTGTGGTGGTGGGGAGGGGGAGGGGGGGGGGGGATGAGGATCCCCTAACGTGGGCTATCCTACAATTGAGTCACTGCCATGTGGGTCTCATCAAGCATCGGTCCCACCTGTCAGCAACAGAAAGGCGGGGTAAGGCAATGATAGCAACATAAGAGGATCCATGTCCGTGTGTGTACTCTATTTCTAAAGAAAAAAAGAGGAATAGACACATTCAAGTGAAGCCCAAAATTTCTTGTTTTCAAGTTTTGCTCCCATGCAACATTTGAACCCATTGGCCTTATACACGTATCCCTTTCTCTTTGGGTGTGCTGGATTTTATTTCTTTTGAGGGAATCGTTTTCCTATAACAATTGTTAAAGTTACTCTTGACTTTGGGTGCATGACATGTGGGCCCATTAGGTGTCTGGTCCATATGTCATAGACCCAAAGTCACAGGTGGTAGCTCAATTATATTTGCCTCCTATTAAAGGTACGAAGTCGGGACACATATATAGTATATCTGAGAGAACATGAAGTTTGAGTATTGACATAACACCGGCATACTAATTTTCGATGAGCATAACAAATTGAAAAAATAATTAAGCATACACGGCAGCCATAGATCATCAATCAAATCAAAGCTAAGAAGGAGTGCGTACTTATCATCAAGAGCCTCATCTCATCTTATAGTTGAAAACATATACATATAGCGTACGTACGTACAATTAATCAATATGCATGTATGACACGCCCGATCGATCAACCGACCCGCAACAATTCGCAAGAGCTAGATGACAGCTTAGTTGACGGTGACCTTGCCGACCATGCCGGCTCCGGCGTGGGGCTCGCAGTAGAAGCCGTAGGTGCCGGGGACGGTGAGCGTGACGGAGAAGGTCTCCCCGGGGGCGTTGAGGTACTCCTCCTGGGAGATCTTGGAGACGTCGACGCCGGAGGGCACCGCGTCCTCGTCGAACACCACGTTGTGCGGGTACCCGGCGTTGTTCTTGAAGGTGATGGTCTCGCCGGCCTTGACGCTGAAGTCGTTGGGCTCGAACACCAGCACGCCGCCGTTGGCGCCCAGGAGCACGTCCTGCGCCATCGCCGACCCGCCCAGCAGCATCGCGCTCGCGGCCATGGCCACGGCCGCGCTGGCGGCCTTCTTGCCCAGGGACGCGCGCACCACCATCCTGCTGCTCCGGGGAGCGGCCACCTTGGCGCCGGCGGCGAAGGAAGGGACGGAGACGGCTGCAGAGGAGAGGGCGGCCATGGCTGCTAGCTAGCTAAGTGGGAAAGAGTACGTACGTAGATAGATAGAGCTAGACGGGGCAAGGTGCTGGTTGGTTGCTTTTATATCCACAAGAGCCGGAGGATTGGGTGGTGAGGATGAACGGTAACCAAATCTGGATGCCGGCGCCTGATTGGCTGCCGCCTCTCCATCCGGATGAGATGAGGTCCATTTGCTTGCATCTCGTCCATATATCCACCCATGTCCTACTGTCCTCTCCTCCCCTGATACATATGGTCCATAAACACATCATCCCATGCATCCTCGTCTTGTCCACGGCTGCAACGTGCACATTCACTCGGCTCCACTATTTATGTATCATCATCAACTCAACTCATTCTATGATATGCTACCTACATCATTCACTGGGTTATCTCACCGTGCCAAGGAACAACATGGGTACTATCGTTTTACATAAAAATTGCAGCTATTTCCATCGGCAATCAAAATATTTTCACAGGAAAATGAGTGGGATAAGGTCGTACCCGGATTGTGCCATGTGGTAACCTACACGGCACCCCGACCCCTTGTAGATGGCGAGACTTTGAGATCCCCCCTCTCCTTGCTCTGCTCCACTTATGCAGATTAATCAAAGTACTGTTGATAAAAGCCATAGCGATTGATGCGTTGATGGCCCCACAAACCGAGAACAGAAGACGATATTCAAGGACAAATTACTGCTCCATCTGTTTCATAATGTAGTGCATATAGATTTTTTTGAGAAGTCAGCCAAATATGTACAACAGGAAAATACGTCTTATGATGTATGTAATATATGTATTTTGGTTTTCTAGATGTATAGGGTTTTTCTCTATAAACTTGGTTAAAATTTATAAAGTTTGACTTTAAAGAAATCTATACACACTACATTGTGGAACGGTGGGAGTAGTACACACATACCATTGAGAATTATCTATTTAATTCCATCTAAGCTTGATAGTCCTATACCCTAGAAACATCTTTTGAGTTATTTGCTAGATTGCTAGATCCATACTCTCTGCGATATTTAACTATACAAGAAAGCACCATATGAAATCATAATTTGAAATGTATATTTGCTAAGATTTATAACGAAAATCCACTATAATTAACAACATAGTTTCTTAATTATCTTGAACTAAATAAGAAAATTGTGACAAAATATACAAACTTAGGTAAGCACCAACAAATGATTGTGTAATAATAAGTATATTAACATAATATACAAGTGTGTTTACATTGATAATTTTGCTAATTATACCTACTATTTTATTATTCAGCACAGTAGTACTGAATGTAAATACATTTAACTACAAGATGAATTATTTTGATGTAAAAAAGTTTATAAACAAGTAAGAATGGGTAAGGAGGTTTGCCCTATATTTAGTACGTGCAAATAAATGATTTGTTGATCCGCTCAGGCGTCTCCTCTTCTTATAAATCAAGGCAGAACTGTTGTTACTCATGGGTGCCTCGGCTGGAGCGGCACACCCTCACTAGTCGTCAAACTGCATCAAATGCAAAGCTGGTCGTGGCCATGGGCGCCTCTATAGGCTACTGCCTAGAGCCCTTGAGGAACAGTGCCCTATCTACATGGCCTATCTTTTGTCTCCTCTTGCCACGATGCTGCTATAGGAGTCACTACCGCGTATGACTGCCGTGTTACTACAGCTTTGCTCAGGCATATGAATGAGCAACAATGAACTCCTTTTACCTGGTAGCTGCTGGATAAGTGTGACAGCTGAAGCGGGCAGCATGTAATGCATGATTCTCTTGGAGGATCTCCGTATAACTATCGGTTTTACATCCCGCCCCCGTTTGCTCCTACGATTGATGACGAGACCTGCTCCTGCTCATCATGTTGAATGCAGCAGATAAATTGGCTCTTTTCATTTTGTATCGTGAAAGGGTTCCCTTTGTTTTTTTCCCAAGTAGCACGCCCATCATTGCTCCACAAACACATTATCCCATCCTCATCTTGTCCACGGCTGCAACATGTGTGTACATATACATTCACTCAACTCCACTATTTATGTATCATCATCAACTCAACTCATTCTATGATATGATACCTCCATCATTGACTGGGTTATCTCACCATGCCAAGAAACAACATGGGTATTGTTTTACATAAAAATTGCAGCTATTTCCATCCGCAATCAAAATATTTTCATAGGAAAATGATTGGGATACGGTCGTGCCTGGATTGTGCCATGTGGCAATCTACACGGCACCCCCACCCCTTGAAGACGGCAAGACTTTGAGATCCCCCCTCTCCTTGCTCTGCTCCACTTATGAAGATTAATCAAGTGTTGATAAAAGACATAGCGATCGATGCGTTGATGGCCCCACCAACCGAGAACAGAAGACGATATTCAAAGACAAATTACTACTCCCATAATATAGTGCATATAGATTTTTTGAAATGTCAGCCAAATATGTACAACATGAAAATACGTCTTATGATGTATCTAATGATATGTATTTGGTATTCTAGATGTACATATTTTTCTCTATTTGGTATGCTAAATAGTCTTATTTTTACCTGCCCAGCATGCCTAAACTGTTAGCCTCCTTGTTTATGTACTGATCTCTAGGGCTAATAGTCTCCTTTGTGATCTTAGCAAAATTCATATTGTTTCACTTACTAATTTTAATCTGAATGGTTTAGCTCACCTTGTGAAAAGGAAGAGTTTCACTTTCTTCATTTTGAATTTTTGATAGATGCTTTACTAAGGATTAGAATAAAAAAAATGACTTCCATTAGTGATCCATCTTGGAGGTTTGTAGAGGAGTAAGAGTAGGAGGTGGCTTCTGAGTTTGACATGGATCCCTAAATATACCTTTGTCCAAAATGAAACTTAATATTTTTTGATGTCATTGCTTTGCGTTGCTTTTTACTATGTTATTGGCCAAAAAGTTCCACATACAACATTGTGTATTTTGTGATCTTAACCAAATGTGTCATGCTTCACATAGATATTGTAATCCAAATTGGTTTAGCCTACCTTCTTCTAAAAAGGAAGATTTTCACTTTCTTTATTTCCATGCGCATTTGTACTGAAGTTAAAATAAAATGTTGTGACTTTCATTAACAATCCATTTTATGCTTGGATTTATAAGTCAAACTAGGGATTGCAGTTTCATTCTTCAATTTGAACCCTTTTTCCATTAGCCAAGTTAGTACACATGTTGACTATGTTATGCACTTTTTCTATAGACATTGGCTTCCTTAGCTTCGGATGGTTGTTCGCATAGCAAGCACTAGGTAATCTTGGTGATTTTTTTATCTCCTTTCCTCAAGTTCTAGAGTTTTTTCCGCAATTCATTAAACTTTTGCAGTTTGTCTTTTCAGCAAGCTCAAACCAATGCCTAGGTGGACGCTCACTGTTAGCCTGCCGTGGAAGCAGTTTGTCAAGAAATGTTGTCTTGGCAACAAGAGAAGTATAGTAGGACCAGGAAGAGGGATGATGGCTAAGGTGGCAACTATTAATAAGAAATGGGGAAGGAAATTGCTCTAAACTAGAAGATGCTTAACTGTGCAGGTCGCTATAAGTTTGGGTTTGGGTAGAAGATACTTAAACGTGTGCAAGTTGCTTTAATTCTTAGGTTACGGAAACTTAGTTTGTCATGGTTTCATGGCGTACCCTAGTCCCTCCTGAATTGAATTTTTGTTAACATGCCTTACCATTATAGTGGCTACATATGAAGTCATAATTGTCTATTGCCTTAACATGTACTCCCTCTGTAAAGAAATATAAGAGCATTTAAAACACTAAAATAGTGATCTAAACGCTCTTATATTTCCTTACGGAGGGAGTACTGCACTATATTGTATACATGATCTTACCTCGGGTTTTTACATGTCTTGGGAAACTGCAGTTTTTGCACAATCTTATTTTAAATTTGTAAGAGACTCCTGCACGCATGGTTCAGCTACAGAGTTAAATGTTCTGGCATTCATTCAACCCCAGGCGCGGCAAAGTGCACGTATCCATCTAGTATAAGGCTATGCAACAGTTTGGATGTCAGGGAGGGTTTCCCCGGGATGCAGCAGCCGTGGCAAGGGAACCAATTTTCACGGTTTAACTAGTGGCCTCCTCAGTTCATGCCTACTATGCCTAATATTCAATCTCAACAACAACGGCAATTTGTTCCTATGCTTGGGTAGTTCCGAGGTGTTGGCTGATACGTCTTCATCGTATCTACTTTTCCAAACACTTTTGCCCTTGTTTTGCACTCTAACTTATATGATTTGAATGGAACTAACCCGGACTGACGTTGTTTTCAGCAGAATCGCCATGGTGTTGTTTTATGTGCAGAAAATAAAAGTTCTCGGAAAGTCCTGAAACTCCACGGAATGTCTTAGAAAAAATAATAAAAAATCCTCGCCAAAGATGAAGACCAGGGGGCCCACACCCTGTCTACGAGGGTGGGGGCGTGCCCTCCCCTCCTGGGCGCGCCCCCCTACCTCGTGGGCCCCCTGGAGACCCTCCGACGCCAATTCCAACTCTATATATTCGCTTTCGGAGAGAAAAAAATAAGAGAGAAGAGTTCATCACGTTTTACGATACGGAGCCGCCGCCAAGCCCTAAAACCTCTCGGGAGGGCTGATCTGGAGTCCGTTCGGGGCTCCGGAGAGGGGGATTCGTCGCCGTCGTCATCATCAACCATCCTCCATCACCAATTTCATGATGCTCACCGCCGTGCGTGAGTAATTCCATCGTAGGCTTGCTGGACGGTGATGGGTTGGATGAGATTTACCATGTAATCGAGTCAGTTTTATTAGGATTTGATCCCTAGTATCCACTATGTTCCAAGATTGATGTTGCTATGACTTTGCTATGCTTAATGCTTGTCACTACGGCCCGAGTGCCATGATTTCAGATCTGAACCTATTATGTTTTCATGAATATATGTGTGTTCTTGATCCTATCTTGCAAGTCTATAGTCACCTATTATGTGTTATGATCCGACAACCCCGAAGTGACAATAATAGGGAT